TTGAAACAGATCAGAAAACTCCCTATCTTGAAACTTTCTACGAAAATCAAAATTCAATCCACCCTGGGCAAGTTTAACAAACTCGTGTTCTGTCAAGTTCACAAAACAACGATTTCTTGCATTCTTAAAGTTAGTTAAAAAGTGTTCTACCGTTTCCCCTGGTTGCTGGCGCATTCGTGCCAAATCTCCCATAGTTACTTCTGGCTTAGAGCAGTAAAACTGGGCATGGAACATGACACGACCCGATACTTTTCAAAAACCAAACCATAACTCAAACCAAAAACCGGTTACTCCGGAGCAACCCAAACCATATTTTAAAATAAACAAACCGACATCATTTAAGAATTTTTAACGAAAAGCCCCAACACTTGGGCAAAATTCTCAATCTCAAACACTTAAAATGACTTAACACAGAATCTCCAGTTTATACTAATAACCATGAAACGGAATAAATAACTAATCTAACTTGACTCCTCACGAGCTTTCCGATATCCCGTCGACGCTGGTACTGCTGCTCGCCTCGCCCTGCTTCTTCTCATGATCCACTTCTACTAGACTATCCTCATCCTGGTGAGTGAGAAGGGGTCAGCCTCATCGTTACTTCCTAAGGTCTTTGCCTAGGCGAACTCCCTACTAAACACGTTATTAGGGGAAAGCCTTCCTTAGACGAAAGTCATTCTCACTTTCATCCTTTAAATTTTACTATCAAACAGTCTATAAGAGATCTCTACTCCTATCTTATCTCTTGAAATCCCTTACTTATATTCTCAATCCAAAGACACCAACACAAGGGACCACCGCGTTACGTCTCGCCGTACGGTGTCCCTACCCTAGTATGCCAACCGCGTTACGTCTCGCCGTCCGGTTGCATACCCAAACTCGACAATGGCACTGCGTTACGTCTCACCGTCCAGTCCATGCCCGTTAACTACTGCGTTACGTCTCGCCGTCCAGTAGTGACCCAACCGCCCGGGGGTTCCTCATACCATCAATCCATACATCATCACATACATTCATACATAGCACAACGCGTGCCTCCACCCTTACAGGCGGTGGGATGCCTCACACACATATCGCGCATACTAGAAAATTAACTAAATAATAACTTGAACGAAAAGCATAAACTAGAAGACCTACGACAGAGATTTTACCCCCTTTACACTCACCTTGTTAAACAACCTCGATCGACGGACATGACCTCTCTTCACCTACGGGTAACCCACATCATCCAATCCATCCCTCACTCCTTGGTTATTTGCTCACGTAGTGAGCTTCCTGTTCACTCCATCCGTGAGGTGGGCCACCATCTCCTTGTAAGCTCCACCACAAAGGAGGTTTAAGATTCATCAAAAAACTCAATATCAAAGCTAAATAAACGTGGTCTTTCAAAGGGACTTGACCAGAACATGATAAATACACGTATTAAGCTTACTATGCTTTATGGTAATCTGACTTTTCAGGCGATCGAATTCTGTTCTCGTTGTGGAAACCTTGGCCGGATTCCGTTTGATGTGAGACAGCGCTAGAACAAAGTGGCTTGGATGGTGGATGCTTTGAAAGACTACAACTCGCTCAATCTTTTTCGACCTTCCACTCTGTACGTCGACAGCTACAAGAGGAGGAGCAGCGGATGGAAACCTCCGTAGCCTGTTGCTCTTGGCTGCCTCCAGAGAGAAAAGAAAAAGAGGGTATCGGGGTTTGGCTGGAGAGGGGAAAAGGGTGCTGCTCGGCCACTTCGGCCCAAGATTAATATATATATTTTTAAAATAATAATAATAATATAGTAATTATTATTATTATTCTTTTTCATAATCCGCCAATCGTTTGGTCGAACCTAGACCCGAATGTCGGGGTGTTACAGAACATTTGTTCCATTTGCTGCCAAGTTTGAACCGAGTTTGATGGCAAGTTGACGTACCACGTGAATGCGGGACCGGTCAACGAGTTGCCAAACAAATGCAACTTCAAGAAATCACTCACATCACCACATGGAACCGTGAATCGTCCAACATGCTCGACGGTGAACTGGTCTCCAGTCCCGCTGAAGGTGATGAAATCAGGCACGCGAAAACCACATGGAAAGGGGTTGTATCTATCAACCCAATCCGGATATGGTTTTCGGTATACCGGCGGCATCGTTGGTCCAATCCCTAAACCAAACTGACCCGCCAGCATCTGTGCTACCTGATCTTGAATTACATTAACATCTTGCCCCCGAGTTGACCCCCTTTGGTACGAATCCACCAGGATCCATGCCAAGCCCGTTTGGAGGAGGAGGCACATTTTGCGGGTAGACGCGTGGTGGAACATGATCATTGTTGATCGTTCCTCCACCAACAACACCACTTATCAGAGCCACGTAGGGTCTGGCCTCCGGGATATTTTGTGGACCCCGACGTAAAGCGGCGGTGGTTCAACGCGAGTGTTAGCGGCTGTGCTAGTATCGCCAAGATTCACTCATGGAGTTGGTGGGTTCATCACCGGTGTTGCCGGAACTCCTCGTCTTAGCGGAATAATTCGAGCACTATTGTTCGGAAAACCAATTTCGTTGTTTAAATTGTTTTCACCGTTTAGTGGCAAATCCCTAGTTTGCATCACTGGTCGACACAAAAGCTCCCTAATTTCATTCATATCACGTAGATATTTATCCACAAAAACATCAAACTCATGTCTGTTTTTAGTCACGACTTCAAAGAGTTAGCCTAAACGCCTATCAACACGAGACTCAAGAGAATCATGTTGTGCAGTTAAAGCGTCAAAACGATGATTTACCTCGCCTTTGAAGCTTGCAAACTCGCCCTTGAAGCCTGCAAACTCATTGTTGAGGCTAACAAACATGTGACGATTCTCCTCCATGAAATGGCGGATTGACATATCCTCAGTCGGCCCAGCTGTGGACGGCGGATTCTCAGACCCGTCGATGTCTTCAGCACCGATTCCTTGGCCTCCTTCAATGTTGGCCACATGTTCCTCCACGTATCTGGGCGGAACATCCCCTTCCTGATTCCTTCGTCGCGGAGCCATTCGAACACACGTGTCCCACTAGGTGTGCCAATTTGTTTCGATGGCGAAACTCGCGTGTTCAATGTGCTCTGTTTTCAAGAAAGCACAAAACACAAAGTTAACACAACAGTCAAATATCCACCGCCGAATGTCGGCGCCGTTGATTTTATCGATCGAACAGAAACAAAGACGACCGTCAAATATCCACCACCGAGTTTCGGGCGATGTTGATTTGATCGATGCACCTTTGACTTCTAACCAAGAACAACCGTTATTCGGTTCACCACCTCTCCAAATTACGTTCAAACGAGGATGTTCGATGAATAACCAGAAAACCAAACAAGGAGTGTTCTAAGTTACGTTACCTCTACTCCTATGGAGGTTTCTCTGGAGAGCTCCACGACTACTACTACAATGACTACTACGACTCTGCAAAGGAGATCTTTGGCAGAGGGGTTCTACGAAACTAGAGAGAAAAAATGATAATTCTGCGATGGTGCCGTTTGTGATTTGATTTTGACGTCTTGAGCTTCTCTCTCTTCCTGATGTTTATACCGCAATCTTCTGCCCGTAGTCGTAGTAACCGCCTTCGCGCCTTTGTCTCCCACGTCTTCATTCCTGTCAACCGTGCGGGTAACTTCCTCCTTGTTGCGTGATAATCACGTGTCCCCGAAACCGCTCCTTTACACAGAAACTTGGCAAAACAACGTTGAGCCAAATCCTACAACCTTGTTCATGCAACGATGTCGTCTCACCCCCATAAACTGATTGAATAAACCTCCTTCGTTCATAATGTCATTCTCATCATCCCTAACAATATCATGAACCTCATGACATTGTTTTTAGTCACATGACGTCGCTCATCAATACCGCGGCATCGCTTTTCACTAATCGATACAGACCTTGAACTACCCTGTCCCGGTCCCATCAAACAATATCGTTTTCATTCCGCGGCATTGTTCTCTACCGAACGGTACCATTTTCTCGTCTTGCAGTGCCATTGGGCTTGCCGGGCCTCGCCAAAATCCAACCCGTTGTGGTATGGTTTCTAACTAAACGGCATCGTTAGTAATATCGCAGCGCTGTTGATGCCTTAAACGGTGTCGATTTTCGCTAAACAGCACCCCTTGATTCTACCAGCGACATCATTTTAATATTAACCGATGTCGTCCTAACTACTGCAACATTGTTGGGCTTACTCGCGGTATCATTTCCTTCCCCAAAATGGCTCCGTTTGCTTTTTCTCCGCGACATTGTTTTATATTAAACACTGTCGTTTTCTTATCCGCGATGTTGTTGATACCTCTTGCATCATCGTTTTCAACTAAATGACACCATCCTAAATAATCATTAAAAATATTAATTAATTATGCCGGCCATCACCGTTGACCTGCAGTCAAACTCGTGTGTTGACCAACGACATCGTTAGCGCCAAAGCGGCTCCGCTTGCTTTTCCTTTCACGACATTGTTTTTTATTTTAAACACTGTCATTTGCTAGTACAGCGGTGTCGTTGGGCCTACTCGCGGTACCATTTTTAATTAAACCACACTGCGTTACATAATAATAAAAAATATACCAACGTGCTAAACTGGCGAGATTTTGCACGTTGGGCTGGGCGGATTTTGGGCCAATCACTTACCCGATATGGTTTTCAATTAATCGGCCTCGCCTATAAAGGCCTCTCGCGGTATCATTTTTAAATCTGCGGTATCGTTTTACCCATCCGCGATGCCGCTTGTCTCCACGCGGTATCGCTTCTCTCCTTCCGACAAGGAATAAAAAAAACTTCTTTTCCAACAGCAACACTAACCGTGCGACCCATATCTCACGAAAATTGTTTTCCAGTAAACAATGTCGTTTCAATTGTCGCGGTACCGCTGAGCTTCCTTGCGGTATCGTTTTAACTCTCTGCGATGCCCGCTCGACTCCAAACGACACCGTTTTTTATCCGCGGCATTGAATTAAATGTCCAGACTAATTAATGCGGTATTTAATTCAGGTCAAATTAATGTTAGGTGTCAACAGCACCAAAAGGAAAAAAAATAGACTTTGAGCAAGGATTCTAACCTCAAAACTTATGTTCTTGTAGACAACCTCTTCCACATTGCTACCAACGGTAGGGTGAGTAGTTACCACCTCGTCCAAGTGCAATTTGTAAATAGTGATGGTCTTCCCTGCATTATCCAACCCAACTACCACAATCTTGTACTCATTTGCAAGAAACAACATGAACCAAAATCTAGACATGAATGCTCACATCCTTCTCCCCTTTCCTCCTCATTCTCCTCCTGCTACTTCAACAAATCACCAAAATTCAGCAAAATTCAATCAACCACTAATTCCAGCTCTACAAATGAAAGGCAACCCAACAATAAAACGATCGTCACAAATCCCACGAAGGGTAATGATAGGGTTACGCAAATCATCAGAACGAAAAAAAAGCATCATAACCAGATAAAACAATCAGTAAAGACGCAAAGATAGGAAATTTCGGATCGAACCTTAGAGCTAGGGATTGAAACCAAAGAGTACGAATCCCAAAGGCAAGCTAGCCTGATTCGAGGAGATGGTCGGAAGCTGCAGCGGACGAGCCAAAGAAAGCAAAAAAGTCGAATGAGTAATCGCGCTGGAGAGAGAGCGATAGGCTATACGATCTGACTCTTCCTTTCAACAACAATAATTGGAATAAGAATATGACTTTCTCACCCAAACTAAGTTAAGTTTTAAAAATTAGTTTTCAATCTTAATCCATGAGAGGAAGGAAAGGAATGGTGAAAGAAGGAAAGCAACCAGAAAGTGGAGGGAAAAATTCGGGCTCGTTCGCGCTGCTGCCTGGCACACTTTAGCTGGTGACCTGCGACTCAATTGGGCCTCATAATTCCACACAAAATGATTGGGCCTCAGCCCATCTTCTCATACATATTTTCTTCCGGCTATAAACTGATCGAGTCGAGACGGGATCGGAATCGGGATCGGGTGACACATGGACATCGATCCAGACTTACTTGCATCACGCCCGCAGCTGATTGTTTCTCTCTTAGTTACACCAACCAATTCCACCGGTCGGCCCGTTTAACACCTGCAGCACTATTCAAATATCCTTTTTGGCGACTACAAGATTCTGGACTTTTTAACTTGCTAGTTCTTTTTTCACTCACTGGGCGACACATTCGAAGTTGCGCTCTTGTTCACTTCGTTCCATCCGCCACCTGCCGTATTCCTGTGCTTCCGGCCGCCGCACAACTGGAATCGCGCCGCTCTACATTCGCCGGCCATGTCTTCACAGTCGCTTCATTTCTTCACTCCTTCCTCAACTGCCTGCCCGAACATCACCTTCCCCAAGCCTTCACTTCCGGCTCCCAACCGCCGCTTGGCGTTTGCTTCCTCTCCCAGGACATTTTCGATTAGAGCCGTTTCGGAGTCTTCAGATCCCAATCCGGCACCGCCGCCAGTCGTTGTTGCCGATAATGGAGCGGGAAGTAGGGTTGTGGCGGCGGCGGATTCCAGCTCAATCGAGGTGGATAAGGTCACGGAGGCGGAATTGAAGGAGAATGGGTTCAGGAGCAGTAGGAGGACGAAGCTGGTATGCACGATCGGGCCGGCTACGTGCGGTTCCGAGCAGCTGGAGGCGTTGGCCGTGGGTGGAATGAACGTGGCGAGGATCAATATGTGCCACGGCACCAGGGAGTGGCATAAGCGGGTGATTGAGCGCGTTCGGAGGTTGAACGAAGTGAAGGGATACGCGGTTGCGATTATGATGGACACTGAAGGGAGTGAGATTCACATGGGGGATCTCGGCGGTGCTCCATCCGCCAAAGCTGAGGTAAACAGCATTGTCGTATAAATCCGCCTTTTTTTTTTTTTACAACATTTGGTTTCAAGGATTCGTAGTAGTTCACATTATTGTGAAAAATGGAATGTAATGTGCGGCTATGATTTGTGTAGGATGGTGAAGTATGGACATTCAGCGTAAGAGCCTATGATGCGAATCGCCCAGAGCGAACCATAACTGTAAATTATGATGGTTTTGCTGAAGGTTAGCGAGTACTTGGGTTAGGAATATAAATGATGTTGTCTGGTCTCTATAATTTTCTGGTTTCATGCTGGAACTCAAAAGATCGATTTTAAACTAGTATTCTCAATGTGGTGCAGATGTGAAAGTTGGGGATGAGCTACTTGTGGATGGTGGAATGGTTCGGTTTGAGGTGATTGAAAAAATTGGTCCTGATGTCAAATGTATGTGCACTGATCCCGGGTTGTTGCTGCCCCGGGCTAACTTGACTTTCTGGAGGGATGGAAGTTTGGTACGAGAACGTAACGCAATGCTTCCTACGATTTCCTCCAAGGTCGGTGCCTCTCACCTGTATAATGGCAATGGGGGGATTTTGGAATGTGCAATTCAATTAGTTGTCTTCAGTCACTCAATCCAGTTGGAGACCGTAGGCATTGTTGTTTTTTCCCAAACATTATTGTGCTTTTGTGCTCATGCAAGGATATTTCCGCTCTCAGGACTGGTTGGACATTGATTTTGGAATTGCAGAGTCTGTTGATTTCATTGCAGTATCATTTGTGAAGTCAGCTGAAGTGATAAACCATCTTAAGAGCTACATAGCTGCACGCTCTCGTGATAAGTAAGTACCTCAAACCAATATATGTGTACTATCTGAATCCCTATTACTGATCCTATATTTTATGAATAGCTATTCACCATCTTGTCACAACTTCTTTGGCCTTTACTTCTCGTCTTGCTTTTGGAAGAAAAGTTTAAATTTGGAAGGTGTCCTGTTGGTGTTAGAAGCCTAAGGAGAAGGAATGGTCATGAGAAAACATTTTAGTTCTTCCATCCAGGTTGCCATTAATTGCCTTCTCTTTTCGGTTTCTTATTGTCGTGACGTTTGGTTATTTTCTCTTCGAAGAAGAAATATGAGCCATACCAAAATCTCCCAACTATAAACCAAATCTTTTCCTCTTCTCATCTTCACTGACTAAAAAATTAGTGCATAATCTTTTTTCCTTGGTCTCGAATCTCTTAGTCGTGGCTCACATATAACCTAATTCAGGCTAAATGCACCACAAGGTGCCATGGCTCACTTGACATCTTGCCTTCTTGGACTTAGGAACTATGGCAACCTTGCTTCTTAGTGTGGCTTGTTAATGTTGTGATAGACAAAAGACCCATCTGCCTTTGGTTAAAACTTTTAGGTTATTCCGCACTGGCATGTGTACATTCCTGCTGCAGTGGCCTTCTTGCAAATTTAGTTTTCCACTAAAAAAATTCTTTGGTTTGTGTGCTTCTTATTTTTCGGTAGCAGTGACATATCAGTCATAGCAAAAATAGAGAGTATTGATTCATTGAAGAACTTGGAAGAGATCATTCAAGCATCAGATGGAGCTATGGTAGCAAGAGGAGATCTGGGTGCTCAGATACCATTGGAACAGGTACCAGCCGCACAGCAAAGGATTGTCCAGGTGTGCAGGCAACTGAATAAACCAGTCATTGTTGCATCTCAATTGCTTGAATCTATGATCGAGTATCCTACACCAACAAGAGCGGAGGTTGCTGATGTCTCTGAAGCAGTTAGGCAAAGGTCGGATGCGTTGATGCTCTCTGGTGAATCTGCTATGGGTCAATTCCCAGACAAGGCATTGACTGTTCTTAGGAGTGTGAGTGTGAGAATTGAGAAGTGGTGGAGAGATGGGAAACACCATGAAGCTATGGAACTGCCTGCTGTTGGTTCATCATTTTCTGACCGTATTTCAGAAGAGATTTGCACATCTGCTGCCAAGATGGGTAAGTCGCCATTTTATCATGAAATTTCCTTGTTATTTCACTGATACCTTAATGATACAGCATTCTAATTCTTTCACCATTCTGATTAAGAACATAGTGATTTGTTTTGCCATATGGCTAGTATTGCAAGACATAGTTAAGCGACTCTGCCTAGAATAAACTTCCACATATAATTATGCAAAGAAGTCCGTCGGCATTTAAAAGATTTTAAGGATCATTTGGATGTACAATTCGAAAAGGGATGGATTGTGTGGAATCCATGGATTTGAAAAGTACAGGATTTCGACATTTGTGGATTTTGAAAGTTTCGTTGGATGTGATATATTAGTAGTGGATTCTGAGTTTTAGAGGTTAAACTTAGTGCCCTCACCAAAATAGAATGAGTCTAGTGGACGGCATTGTGCAATTAACAAAATAGGATTGACGAAATAGACAATTTTAGTGATGAATTTAACAAACCCTCACCTAGGAGTGTGTTTTTGAAATCCCTGAGGCCCACACGTTTGACAGTCTTGTAGATTTCCAACTCCATGGAAGTCCCTTGTTCCACTCACCTCAAATCCATGAGACAAATTATACATCCAAATGATCCCTTAAGACTTGGTTCCTCTCTTACATTATGAGTGCTAGTATTACAGGGTTTTTCATTACCCCATGGAATTGATATTGTCTTACTGCACCAAGGTTCTGATCAATTTTTTTGTCAGTGTCTCTTGGCTTTGTGCAATTAAGTGTGACTGTGAACAGAATATATGGCTGCTTTGTATAAGTTTATAGGCCGATTAACTTACTATATTATATAAGTTCTCTGCTGGGTTCCTAAGTTCATATGATAGATCCTGGTAGACATTTGAGTGGTGTTTACATCTCAACTGGATATAAACCAGTTCAACGTTTGAGACTGCTTAGACATTTGGGCACTGGGTTGATTTGATAGTATGCTTTATCTAGATTCCCCAAATTTTGCTTAGTAAAAGCCTCTTCCCTTGTCATCTTCTAGCATTTCATTCTCATGTACAGTGAACCATGTTTATTCAATCAATATGTAACCCGCACTCCAATTACAAAGCACTTGTTATTCTTTTTGGTTTGTAATTGCAGCAAACAACTTGGAGGTAGATGCCCTTTTCGTCTACACAAAGACCGGACACATGGCATCTCTCTTGTCACGCTGCCGACCTGATTGCCCAATCTTTGCCTTCACGACGTCGACATCCGTACGAAGGAGGCTGAACCTTCAGTGGGGGCTGATACCTTTCCGCCTGGGGTTTTCCGACGACATGGAAAGCAATCTCAACAGAACCTTCTCCTTGCTCAAGGCCAGAGGAATGATCAAATCTGGCGACCTTGTTATTGCCGTCTCAGACATGCTGCAGTCCATCCAAGTCATGAATGTGCCTTAAATACCAGAAAGACAGAAAGGCTCAACTCCAGACTGCAACGGCCACCACAACTTGCAGTCATGAATGTCCCCCTATTATCGCTAATCTGGTCATTGCTAGTAACAAGAGAGATTCAAGGCAATGCTGATCATCCGCAATAAGGTTGCTCTCCCTCTTATATATATGTATACCATTTCCGGCTGTTTTCTGTGTTTTCGACAAGGTCTTGTTTCGATGTTGTAGCGAATGATTAGGCTAGGCAGAACTGTAACTTAGCCAAAAAGACCTGGGGCCGGGGCGTGACTGGTTTTCCATGTTTGGCAAACGCTGGTTAATGCACTCAAAGCACCCGTTCTAGAAATCTCTTCCCACGAGGCGACTTCATATATATGCTTATGTAACAGGTCTCTGATTGTGAGTGAAAGCAAGAACAATCATGGTGACGAATGGTGATGGAAGCGAGGGCATCTTATTCTTGTAGCCATGGATGATTATTTTTTTACAGCAGTAGTAGTAGTTGTTGTAGCAGGGAGTTCACGAGGAGTACTTTCTTTTACGCCATCTTGGCTTGGTTTTTGTACTGACTGTAACAGGAGAGTTGTGGGGTGAAAACGAAAGGAACTGTCGGCTTGCTTCGTGGAGGAAAGGAAAACTATTTTCACTCTTGTACTGCTGTTTTATATTCTGTCCCCTCTACAGCATAGAGTGGTGGGTGCATCGGCGTGCGTATTGAACAGTATCTCTGTGGCCAAGATTTTGATGGGGGTGAGGTACTGGAACATCCTTGATAACAATGGTTGAAAATGTCACTTTCTGTTTCATTTTCATGGATTTTCCTCTGTCCGGAAGGCAGTGGCATGAGGGAGGGAGGGAAGTGCCAGTGCTCTGGAGATCAAGAAGGGACTCTCAACTTTAACTTGGTGGCTACTGCAGTGCAGGGGCTCTCAAGCACCACTATCTCATAATATTTACTTCAAATTTTATATACTAAAAGTGTATTTGTGTTCTAAATTATTCAATATGACAAATTTGACACAATTATTAATTATATGTGTTTTGTGACATTTGTTTCCTAAACTATTCAATATGACAAATCTGGCACAACCACATAGATGATGACTAGATTTTCTGTTAAATACTAACAGTCAACGTCGGTCAACATTAACAAAAAAAAAAAATAGTTTGTGCCAGATTTGTCATATTGAATAGTTTATGACGTCACTTTTTCAATAGTTTGAGCTTCATAGTGGAATTAGCCCTAATATTAATATAATACGATTGGGCGAAATATTTCCAAAATTGCTTGCATGATTCAGTAATGGATCGAACACACTGTCATGCTCAGAGACAGAATGGGCACCAAAGGAAACAGGAAAAACCCCTACGAGCCTAATATCGGTTAAGAAATTCCCCTCTCTAAACACATGAGAGAGTCTAAGCTCCCACTCCCTCGACAAGAAACGTCGGAGCTAGAGTACAGATGCAGTTATGTTAGTATTATTTTTTTTATTGTTATTATTATCAGAATCCAACAATAGGTATTAGGGTATAAGGATTGCGGAGTATGAATACTCTTTGTACCTTTGTTATTCGGTTCATCAATAAGTCAAACAATAAACCTGATTCTATTCTCCTCAAAATCTAATTTTACTTTCAATCTTCCCCAATCAACTTCTCAAATCCCTATATCATATTTATAGAAACTCATATTTCTATCAAGTACTGAACTCGTCTGCTGACGAGATGAATCGTTCATTGTCGAGTTCATCTCTGAAAGTTATTGCTACCTGTTTCATTTTTCATCAATGGGGTTGTTATCAATTCATTCATGCTTCAAACTTCATCTTGATCAGTACTCAATGATGTGAGAAATCCGTGGCAAGTTAAGAAAATGGTTTTCTTGGTCAAGTTCACGGATGTGGACATTTTTGTCATGGTGCTTCCTTGCGGGCCTACGGTTTTATTATATCTATCCTTTCTTTCTCTCCATACATTACTGCTATACGTACGTAAGTGTATGGAAAATGAGCTTGACTTCTCCGTAACATGGACAAGTGTTCATCGATTACCCACACGAAATCGAAGCACTACTCTCCCAATTAATCTTTTCTTACTCAAACTGGCTTCAAATCCTTTGCATAGATCGATATATATCACAAATGTGTTTGCTTAAGCTTATGTTCTTTTGCCTATTCTTGAATAGAAACGATCACTTAAATTGGCCATGTTTTTTTTTTCTTTTGGGTTTTGGTTATCGAACAGAAACCAACTTAAGAGAGGTAGAGCCAAGAAAATGAAATTTCAAGGAGATCTAAAATCTTCATAGGTAGGTGGAAGGAAACCTAAAAGTCTTTTACTTGAGTCATGTCCCCTTCATCCTGGATTTGCTCAAGCCTGGTTCAAGGACGACCTTATACGGTTAGGTCACATTCATTACACAATTTTTTTACGGTAGTTTTGAGTGTACACTTTTTTGTTTATCTGGTTGGGATGCAACCAACAAATTTTTAGTTACTTCTTAATTATAAGATTAGCTATGTTATAAGAAGTTCAGACAAAGAATGATTTGACAATTTGTGTAGGGCTATGCTAAATCTCGAATGTAAAGACTTACTTGTGTAGTAGAGTTGGCCACAGCAGGAAAACTATTTCTCACGCTGGTAGGTTGATTTTGAAGTCGACACTAACAATCCAATGCGTCGTCATTATTTTTCCTTATCTAATTAATTATTTCTAATTGAAAGCATACATTATACACAACTTACTTTGTTAATATACCTCAACTCCTCAAGTAGTCCAACCTTTGTGAAGTTTGGCTTTAAAAATTGGGGTTGTGACTAGAAGAGGATGGATCGATTGTTATCCATCCAGCAGTTCATGTTCTTCACGCCACAGAGAAATTCTAGCCTGTCCTACTTGCTGATCAATTGGTCCGTAAATTAAAATTATTGGTTGAATGATTGACTTTTGCATTTATTGGCAAATTAATATCAACATTTTGTCGCTTACCCTTATCACATCAGCCCCAATGGCATGGTTAAGGGAATTCAATTAACCAAATGGGCCCAGTTGTCCCAGTCCAGGTGGCAGACTATATCATCTACCTACCTGCTTGGACTTTTTAAGCCCACACATTCTGTCTATAATTCTTAACACTTTGGTAAGTAATTGTTATTATCATCAAGTCAAATCACTCACGAAGGATTTTGTGTAACTAAGGAACGTATTAAACTAAGCAAAGCAACAATGACAATGAATTGGGATAATACCATTTGAGAATAAGAGCACTTCTACTATGCTATATATAGCATTGGTGTTTTAATGTACAACTTAAAGTTGTACCATAACATTAAATGTATAAGTTTATGTTGTACCATAAAGCAATTTGTATCATTATGTTATGGTACAACTTTACAACTTGAAGTTGTACCATCACATAAAAGTACAAGTTCAATTTGTACTATAAAAGAATTTGTACAAAAAGTATAAGTACAATCTGAAGTTGTACCATAACGTATATGTACAATTTTAAGTTGTACCATAAAAGCAAAAACTTATAGCACCAATACTATATAGCATTGTAAAATTTCTCTTGAGAATAAATGTTATCTAGACTCTAATCTATTAGTTAACATTCAATTTAAGTAAGTGTGGATTTGGTTCTCTTTTTAAATTGTAGGACGGAGAAGACAATTTTGACCTGAATCGTCTCGTCGGATATGTTTGACCCGTTTTTGGACGGGGTAGTATCCATTCCATAGGTGGGCGGGCATGGATATTCTTCTTGACTCGACCTATTCCATTCTCGATCCGTTTTGCCTAAATTATATGTAATTTTACTCTAATTATTCAATGGTTTACTTTTATAATATCATAATTTAGATACACTAAAGTCGCAAATATGTGAGAACCTATTTTTGAATAATTTAACTACATTTATCATATCATAGTTTGTTTCGCATTTTCTTAATGAACAAATCAATGCTAGTGTTTTCGTTTATGTTACATAGATGTTTGGGTCGATGACCTGCCCTACCTGCGATCCCAGTCGAAATACCTGACCTATCTATTGACATTCCTAGTGAAAAATCCTGTAAATAAAATCACAATACACAAGCAATCTAACAAGATTTTTCTCCGCCCATTCCGCCTAATTAACACATTAATCAACTTTTAATTATAATTATCTCACAATTGATGCATCATTTCAAAATACGTGCTCCTTCTTGTCAATTCAAAATAATGCAAAACAAGACCGTTCAAATTATTTCGACCAATTGAGACAAATCAACTCATCCAATTCCGGGATTTTTTCAGAAATAGCACCTTTAAAAAAAATTACAAAATAGCACCCAGTCCATAGAAATTACAAAAATAGCACCCTTTTTTAAAAACCGCACCTTAGAGGTGCGTTTTGATTGTGAACCGCACCCCCTGGTGCGGTTTGTATGTCAACCGCACCCTTAAGGTGTGGTTTAGCATTCTAGGCCAAAACCGCATCTTGGCCATGCGGTTTGTGTGTCTCACCTAACCAAACCGCATGGCCAAGGTGCGGTCTTGTGCTGACCTAGCAAAACCGCAATTTGGGGATGCGGTTTTGCTTCCCCAAAACAAACCGCACCCTCAAAGTGCGGTTTTGGCAACAGAAACCGCACACCCCCTCCCCCAATGCGGTTTGTGTGTCAATTATTTTCCGATACCAAATATATAGACATGCAGATTGACAGACGTGGGGCTGCATGGCAGAATGAAAACCGCACCTCTAAAGTGCGGTTTTCATTGATGATTTTGCCTATAAAAGACAGCTCGGGAAACCTCTTCTCTTCACACCTCTCCTTCTCCCTTTTCAATTTTCTGTTGTAGCTCCCTACTTCTCTAGTGTTTTTGCGGTTAACGTTAACTCGTAAGTTTATTTTGTATTACTTTTTATTGTGATTTGTGATTTTTATGATATTAGTTGAACTACTGTTTTTTTGCAGATGGCATTCCAAAAGTTTACGCTTGGGTCACGATGGAATGGTTACACGGAAGAGAGCGGAAAGGGGGTCACCTACGTCGGTGGCAATTTTCAGAAAAGAAAGGTCGCTACCAGACCGATGCTTGAAGACCTCTATCAAATGTGTACTAACGTTACTAGTATGGATGGCACGAGAAGAGTTGATCGTATGGTGTACCGATATCCAAAAAGAGAAGGCGGGTCGTTGTGGCACGAGGAATATCTCATAACCACTCAGGATGAAGTAGATGTCATGCTCGAATTCTTGAGGTCCAACAATCTTTCCAAAGCCGAGATGTTCGTTTACACCGAGCCAGTTATAGGCGTTGGAGGTCATTCTGGAGATGGTCAAACATCTAGTATCCATGGTGGAGGTGAATTATATGGAGATCATCCCTACCAAAGTTACCATGATCCTCATTTGTATTTTCAGTACCAAGAGCAAGGTGAAGGTCATCATCAATCTTTCCCGTCATATGAAGAAGAAGAAGTTCAACCGGACCATGCCAACCAACCCCAGTACAACTTCCAATCAGGCAGCGGTAGTTTTCACAACTACCATTATGGAGCTGATGAAGGTGCCTTTCATGAGTTGGATCATATGGAAGATGCCTTGCCAGCACCAGTCAGTGACCCTTCCGATGAAGAAGGAGAGAACAACGTCAGTGCAGACAGCTCCGACCCTCTTGAAGGTGCTAATGATTTAGGACCAGAGTCAGACTCAGATAATGATGATGAGGTGGCTCATGATCGTGTACCAGTCCCCTACTACAATCACATTCCAGACGGCAATTGGATGGTCGACAGCGACATGGAACCCCCGGAGGTTCCAGTATGGGGTCCACTCACTGGGTTTATGAAGGGCCAACAATTTGGCTCGAAGAAGGAGGTGCGGCACGCCATTGATACTGAAGCAATGACTCAGCATTTTGAATGGCACACAACTCATTCCAACACGAAAATGCTCATAGTCAGATGCCGTAATCATAACAAGGGATGCAATGTTAGGATTCGGGCCATCAACAGCAAGAGACACGG